AAAACACTGACCAAAACCAGCGTGGGGAAGAAAGGGCTTATTTCACCTTACACTTGACAGTCCACGAGGAAGGGAAACTCTCAGAATTACCTTCCAAGCACCATAAGGACTCATTAAGCCATGAGAATTCAATGATTTTTTTTCCAGCCCAAAGTTCCAAATGATGCTGCGGTCCTCCCCAAAAGAAGAATGGCCAGGCTCAACGCAACAATACGCCACACCAGGTACATATTTCTGCATTAGTTTTCTCTCTTTGTTTCTGTGATAAAACACTGACCAAAAGAAGCTGGAAGAGAAAATGGTTTATTTTATCTTACACTTTACAGTCCATCAGGGGAAGCCAGGGGAGTAATTCAGGCAGGAACCTGGAGGCAGAATCTGAAGCAGAGACCATGGAGGAATTCTGTTTATAGACTTGTTTTCTATGGCTCATTTAGCTAGTTTTCTTACACAAACCAGGACCAACTGCCCAGGAGTATCTCCAGCCACAAAGGACTGAGCCCTCACACACTACTATTAATCAAGAAAATATCCCACAGACGTTACCACAGAACAGTCTGATGGAGGCAATTCCTCAACTGTGGTTTGCTCTTCTCTGGTGACAACAGAAGGGGCAAGGGAAATCTAGACATAGACCAGAAATATAACCAGCGAGTGACAGATTTAAACCCAAGCAATTTGCATAGACAGAAGTTTCTGTCCTGCCTGGTCTGCAGCCATTCAGTACCAAAAAAAAAAAAACAAAAACAAAAACAAAAACAAAAACAAAAAAAAAAACACAGAGGCTTATATTAATTATAAACCGTTTGGCCTATTAGCTCAGGTTTATTAACTTAAACAACTTCAGTTAATCTATAACTCTTACCTATGTTTAGCAGCAGAGGTCCTCTGAAATGCTGGATCATTTGGGCCATCTGCTCTTATCATAGAATTTTTTTAGGGGATCTTCTTTGATCAAACCTTATTTTTCTTAACCCAGAATGAATCCACAGCATCTCATTTCCTGTGGAAACAAAAGCAAAACCTCCAAAGGCTTATTATTAATTATCTCTTACAACATAAATTAACCTGTAATTCTTATCTATGTTTAGCCACGTGACTTGGTACTTTTCTCAGTGAGGCATTCTCATCTTGCTTCCTCTGTGTCTGGCTGGTAACTCATGCTGCCTTTCCTCTTCCCAGAATTCTCTTAGTCTGGCCACCCTGCCTACACTTCCTGCCTGCCTACTGGTCAATCAGCATTTTATTAAACTAATACAAGTGACAGATCTTTACAGTATACAAAAGCACTATCCTACAGCATTTCCTCCTTTTTTCAAGATTAGAACTCTTAATCTAATCTCCTTTGTTTAGCTTTTTTCCTGACCATTATCAATAACAACTTGTAAACAAAACGCTAAACAAAAACAAACACTCATAATTCATTTTTATGGAATGTGAATGTAGTTTTCTAGGCTACTTCCTGCTAACTGGGGGCACTGATAATCCTATGGGGACCAAAAGAAAATTCAGGATTATCTGATTGGAGTATTCTGTGAGGCTGGATCATCTCAGTCAGCCATCTTGAAGCTGTTCTGGATGTAGAACTCAGAGGAAACTGCAACAGGGGTCCTCTGAAATGTTGAATCATTTGGGCCATCCACTCCTATCAGAGATTTTTTTCAAGGGGTCTTCTTTGATTAAACTTTAGTTTCCATAACCCAGAATGAATCCATAGCCTCTCCTTTCCTGTGGAAACAAAAGCAAAACCTCTTTCCCAAAGTAACATATTTTTAAGATATTTTTAAAACATATAGGTTGATTTAATTCAGCAGCATTTATAATCAAATATCTTTTAACAGCTGTTGTTCCTTCCTCAGCAGTCAAAAAATTGAAAGACAACAACAGACAGTATCCAAATTCTCTGTGTATTTTCCATCTTTATATGGCTTTTTCTTTTACTCTGTTTATTTTTATTTTTTAATTTTTGTTTTTGTTTTTTTTTTTTTTTTTTTTTGAGACAGAGTTTCTCTGTGTATCTTTGGCTGTCCTGGAACTGACTCTGTAGACCAGGCTGGCCTCAAACTCACAGATATCTGCCTGCCTCTGCCTCCTAAGTACTGGGATTAAAAGTGTGTGCCACTACACCCAACTACTCTATTTCTTTTTCTTTAAAGGGATTTCTCTATCCTTTTTCTTTTCTCTCCCAAGCCTAGGTATATTTTTAAATACTGCAAACTATTTAAAGGTTTTTTTCATCTGAATCTATCTTTACTGTATATTTATATCTTTTTCTGACCACATGAGTCTTTAATCTGCTAAGCAATAAGGCTAAAATTAAAGCTATAGCTTTGGTGGGCTGGCTCCACCCTCATTGCTTAGTTTCTTGGGAGTCTAGCTTCACGGCAGAGGTACTGGCGGAAGCCACATTTATTGCCACACTCTGTGGAGTTACTAGGTCCATACCACCACCAAGAAGCATGCTGCTAGCAGCTCATAAACACCATTTCAGTGTTTGGTAGCAGGGATTCTTGAAAGAGTTGCAAGGTTTTTGTTGCTAACACTGAGTCAGGATGCCTTTTTTGTGTTGTTTTGTTTTGTTTTTATTTTTCAAGATTGGTTTCTCTATAGCTTTGGAGCCTGTCCTGGAACTAACTCTTGTAGACCAGGCTGGCCTTGAACTCAGAGATCCTCCTGTCTCTGCCTCCCAAGTGAGGGGATTACGGGCCTTGGCACTATGACCAACGTCTTTAGGCACTTTAAAGAGGAGGATAAAAGCAGGTAGGATGAAGAACATCTGATTGAAAACCAAGCACAACCATGTAGATACTCCGCTACGAAAACACCTAGAAGCCTGCTTCCTAATGGCTCAAACATCCCTTTAGGGAGTAGTACTTCTTACTACTGTTCTCTAAGCATTTGCTTAGAGGAACAAGGCTGGCAAGAGCAAGTGAGAAAGGCCAGTTAAAAATCTTTCAGTAAATCCCAAATCCCTAATAAGCATTCGCCACACTCCAGAAACATTGCAAACCACCCTACAACCACTCTGTACAGCAGGATGGTGCTGTCCATGTTAACATGAGAGGAAATGGTGTCCCAGAAGTGGTGAAATGCCCAGTATCACCCAGTTAGAAACTGGTAGAGGAGGGGAAACCAAGATCCATGCTAACTCATTTCTGTCCCAGTCAGAAGATCACATCCCAGATTTTTCACCAAGTTAAGGTCGTGAGACCAAGCAAACAACAGACATAAGGTGCCACCATCTCAGCCCTGAGACTAGGCCCGGATGCTGCCTGACTCTGTGCTAATTCATCTCCCTACACCTTGACACTTACTGGCCTGTCTTCAGTAGCACCCTATTCAGGAACACTCTGCCGCTTGCAAGTTTTGACCCGTCAAGTGTCACAGACAGATCTCTCCAGGACCCAAACCCAAGCCTCACTCCATCCCTGCCCTTGGCCTGGCGCTCAGCCTAGGTCACCTAATGAGCCAGACTGCAGCTTCCAGAAACATTCCATCTCACTCCCGGGAAGGCACCTCTGGATCTGTGGGTTCCTACCAGAGCCTTTCAAATCCTCCAGGAGCCAGAACTGGCCTCCCCCAGCATTGTCTTGTCCCAGGCCGCTATTCCTTGGGAAAATTTTCAGCCTCATGGGCAGATACACCGGAAACCCAGCAGGAAGCGAATATCCAGACTGAAGGCCAGCATGCCCTGACTGGCTCAGCACCCAGGCCAGACTTTTAAAATCCCCTCATAGCACTAATGTCAAAGAGATGCGCAAGAGGATTCCAGTAGTATCACGGACATCCACAGGTTTAAATGTTCCTCGGAAAGGGCCTGACTTAGGTGGAAAATGGAAATTATTCCATCTCTGAGGAGGAAGCAGGAGGAACTTCAGTTCAAGTCACTGAACTTAAGTTTAAGTCCAACCAAAAAAAAAAAAAAGGAGAGAGGATTCAAGCAGGATAAATTTTATATAGCCCTTAATAAATGAACAAGATGTTCTATTAGAATAATTACCTCTGGGCTGAGGAATCACATAGCTAAAAGATAGGCATAAGTAGAACTATTTTTCTTGTCGTCAATTGGTATTTAAATACATACACTACTCATTCTTAAAATCAGTGATGTCTATTTTACCGGTATCATTCCGCCACCTCGACAATCCAAACACGCCTTGACTTAAAGCCGCAGCTTAGATCAGTGTACTGGCGCAGTATCAACTTCCGCAAGGCTTGAAATGCCGAACCTCGTTCAGCTCGATCCCGAATCCTAGAAAAGTTTTTAACACAATTGGCATTGCTTTACAACAGTTTATATACTAGACAAAAAAACCAGATATACATTATTCGTCAGACTTAGGATTTAAATCCAATTAAGTAAGCTTGTATTTTAACTGACAGCGTAATGCTTACAAGACTGGCTCGCATAATAAAGAAAGCAACTTTAATCACAAAACATGTTAATTTATATTCTCTTTAACCATCCATGGAGGATGATTGATGGTCATTTAAAAACTGGACAGAAGCTGACCAATGCACACAAAACTCCCGACACTATAGGTCAAGAGTAGAATAGGGTACTTCTATTTTGAAGGCTGAAATCCAGGCTTACACGGGGCGTCCTTACATAACATTCCGCTCGCGAGACTTGAGCAGTGATGGCTTACTGCTATAATCTGGCTATAGCATACAAGGCCCACAATCCAAAGCGTGGGCGAGGGCCTACAAACCAAATGGCTGCTTATGGAGTGCTAAGAACGGAATACCACACACTGACCTACAAACTACAGCCATAGCCATTGGTCAGATCGACAGTGCTGGGCGGAGCCAGGAAAAGGCGGAGCCTATCATGACGTTTCCCTATTTTCCCGCGCATCCCTTGAAATAGAATTGACGCCTGGGGTATATCCGGCCGGACGTGAGGAAAGCTCAGCACTCCACGGCCAGAACAACAGCCGCCCGGTTGCACGTCTTTGAACTGCAATCCACGCCTCTGCAAGCCCAACATCGTCACCAACATGCTGGGAGTACCACCGCACAGCCCCAGCGCCGACCCCGAACCCTACTGGACACCACAGCCACAAGGACCCAGGCCTGCCAAGCGCCGCCGCCTCCACGAGCCCCAGGAGCCACTCAGCCTGGAAGAGCCCGCAGGGTCCTCCAGAGATGCATCGACCTCTATGGTGATCCTGGCCACCGGCAGTGCCCTGCAGCTGCAGCTGGATGGCGTCGAACTGCTGCTGGAACTGGAAGCCACCTCGGTCCTGGAAGTGGAGCTCCCTGAACACACCATCATCCTGGTGCCCGAGGGCCTCCAGGCTTCAGACCATCTTGGACAGCCTGGGTTCTTCTCCGCCAGCCCGCAGGGGGGCGCTGGCCTGGAAATGCCAGAGGAGGACCTGCTAGTCCTCCAGCTGGTACCCTCCTGTGAGTTCATTCTAGAAATTTCCTACCAAGAGGAATCCTATGATGAGGATGAGGACTCTGGCTCCCTGTCACCCTGGATGGATTCTCCAGCTGGTCAGGCAAGTGAGCACTTTTCCTCCACCAACAGGATGCCCAGTCCTTGGCCTCAGGGCCACATCCCAGAACCATATCCTTCAGGGCCTTCCCCTAATGCAGAGCCATATTCTCCAAGGTCTGTCTGGGACCAGGACAGCTACCTGCTGGGACCCTTCCCCAGCTCACCCTTGCAGCCTCTGCCTCCATCTCCTCCTCCAAGGCCCCAAGAGCAGCGCCCTCCATCCTCTCCGAGGTCCCCATGCAAGGCCAGGAAGAGACTGTTCTGTGAATGAACTGCCCTCCACCAATCCTGATGCCCCTCAAATGAGAGATTGGCTCCCAGCACCATCGTGAGTGCCTCTGCACAGCCTACAAGGTTAGAAGGGCACTCTTGTTTATGAATTGGGCAGAATATTGGATTGTTGGTTGCTAGAATGTCTGGAAGGAAGATCATCGCCTCCAGATCACGTGCTGGTTGACACTTGCCTGCATTTGCTCTTTGACTTGACTGCTTCCTTAGACTTTTTCTATACAGAAGTCACCCTCGGGCAGCTCCAGCAGTGCAGTCCTGATCTGCCTGCCTCTGCCGTTTGTGCTGGGATTAAAGGCGTGTGTGCCACCTCTACCCAGCTCATGTTATTTTTTTTTTAAACAAATGGGGCTTTTGATTGTCGTGGGGGTTGTTTGGGGGTTTATTTTGATTTTGCTTTAGGAAGAGTTGGTTTTACCTTTTCTTTCAACAAGAAATAAGTCTTTTCATCTCATTTTGTATATTTTTAATCTAGTTCTCCAGCTCCCAGGGTCACAATTTGAATGTTACAATAATTTGTTATAAGACTATTTTGTTAGAATAATTAGAAGATCTCAAATTTATGTTTTTCATTGTAACTTGAGTATAGATATGTCTTATGTTGATTTGATATCCAACAAAATTTATTAATTTCTTTAGTAATCTTATGTACCTTCTTTTGGAGGTTTGATAAAAACAATATCTCTACTGAGAAATTAGAGACCTTTGACATATCTAAAACATTTATTTTTCCTTAACATTTACTATGAAATTATTAAGTAAAATTGAAGTGTTTTTGTTAGGGACTTTCCTATGATATAGAATGCAATTACTTAAATTTTATAAGAGAATGTTAATGTTTCTGTATATAGTTGTTAGATAGTCTTTGTCCTGTTGAAGATGTTACTTTATAATGTTTCAGATCATAAAATAGTGAGATTCTTTGGTTTTGGTTTTGGTTAAGTACTAAGACTTTGTCAAAATGTTGGATTAAAAATTTAATAAAATTGTTTTTCAAAAACTTGTGTATTAGAGTACCTTCATGTATGAGCTATGTTAAGCCCTGAGTCTTTGGCAAACACACAAAAACACAGTTAGAAAACACATGAGACCGGGGTTGGGGCTAAGGAGATTGTAACACTTAGGTTCAGATACTTGAGCAGAGATGGTTAGCAGCAGAAATGATGGAAGAATTGTCTTATGGTGTCACATGGTAACATTTAAGAAGTTTTTGTTTTGAGCATGGTGTTCCATGGTGTCTTTTCCATTAGTCCATGCTGACAGAACACACGACGACTCAGGAAGGCCCTCTGCACCCCTGCTAGTCCATAGCATTTCCTATGACTGTCATTATACTCTGAGAATATTTTTTTGGGAGGTTAGAGAGAGTTTGAATGGCTGATTGGTAGGGTTGGTTTTTTGAGAAAGGATCTCCCTATATAGTCCAGAGTGTCTTGAAACTCACCATGTAAGAGATCACCCCCGGGTGAAACCAACAGGAATCCACCTGCCTCTGCTTCCCAAGTGATGGGATTACAGGTGTATGCCACCAAGTCTGGCCTCATTGTATACTTTCGTGAATGAATTTAGTATAATTTTTTTTTTTTCGAGAAAGGGTTTCTCTGTGTATCTCTGGCTGTCCTGGAATTCCCTCTGAAGACTAGGCTGACCTCAAGCTCACAAAGATCTTCCTGCCTCCTGAGTGCTGGAATTAAAGGTTTGAGCCACCAATGCCCTAATTTTTAATTTTTTTTATTTTTGAGACAGGGTCTTATTGATTACCTCTGGGTATTCTTGGAACTCGTTTTGTAGAATAGCCTGGCCACCTTTGCCTCCTGAGTACTGGGATTAAAGTTGTGTGCCTTTACTACTACCTAGCTTGTTGTTTGTTTATTATTCAGACCACTCATAACTAATATTAAAATGTACATAAGAAAATAACATACATGTACATGTTTATGTATTTTGTATGCATGTATATACAAAGCACTATGTTACATATATGTACATAAACACACACATATCACATTTAAGCCTGAATGCCTCTTTTCCAGAAGAGGGCACTGGATTTCCTGCAATCAGAGTTAAAAACCGTTTGAACTGCCATCTGGGTGCGGGGAATTAAACTAAGATCCTCTATAATAGCAAACAGTGTTCTAACTACTGGCCCATTCCAAAACTGATTCATATTTTGTTATGAAATAAGTCAATACTCATAAAGCAGATATCAACATAAAGCTAATGGTAACATATCTACATAAAGTTACTTTGGGAACATCAACAATTAGATTTTAAATATTCCAAGCTCGTTGCCAGTTTCTTTACTCATTTTTCTATTCTTGCACCTCACTCCTTCTTTATATCCTCCTTAATTCTTTTTATTTTTTTATATAAAACACACATTTATGTATTTGCTTTGCTTGTGTGTGCACGCTAGTGCCCTGCCACCATGTGGATGTCAGAGGTTAACAGGACTCTGTTCTCTTCTATTCTGTGGGTCCCAGCACTTGAACTCAGGATGTCAGGTCTGGCCACGATCACCTTTACCCATTGATCCATCCCACTGGCCCCTCGTTTGTCTTCTTTCTAGACTACAATGTTCAGTTTTATATACCTAGGCTTTCCTTGTGTAGCCCAGGCTTGCCTCAGACTTGAAATTCTTCTGCTGGAGCTTCACAAGGGCTAAGATGATTGGCGTGAGCCACCACCTCTGAGAAGCACAGAACAGCCTCAGGAATTCTTTCTTCCATGGCCTATGTGGTAAGTCTTAGCTTATGTCTGGAAATGTTTCATTGACACCTACTAACTTGTGCTGTTTTCGCTGGGTTTGGGATTCTGAAATCACATCTATTTTCTCTCATTACGTCAAGTTACTGTTCTTTCCTGCTGTTCTCTGATGGATGTAAGAAGTCTCCTGGGTAAACAGGGAAGGGCATAATGGGAAGTAATGGGGGATGGGAACAAAGGGATGGGGATGGTCCGTTTATGGGAACGACAGAGAGGGAGAGCAATGAAAGACATATCCTGATAGAAAAGGCCATTATGGGGTTAGGGAGAAACCTGTGCCAGAAAAACTTCCAGTAACCCACAAAGATGACTTCATTTAATACTCCTAGCAACAGTGGAGATGGTGCCTGCACTGGCCTTCTTCTGTAATCAGATTGGTGACTACCCTAATTGCCACCATAGAGCTTTCATCCAGTAACTGATGGAAGCAGATGCAAAGATCTATAGCACAGCTTGGGCCGAACAGAAAGAAGAGGATGATGATATAGGCAAGCAGAGTCAAAATCACGATGGGCAACCCCACAGAGACAGATGACCTGAGCCTTTGGGAGCTCATTGACTCTAGAATGACAACTATGGTGCCTGCATGGGACTGACCTAGGTTCTCTGCATGTGGGTCACATTTGTTTTTTGTTTGGTTTGTTTCTGGTTTTTCAAGACAGGGTTTTTCTGTGGCTTTAAAGCCTGTCCTGGAACTAGCTCTGTAGACCAGGCTGGTCTCAACTCCCAGAGATCCGCCTGCCTCTGCCTCCCGAGTGCTGGGATTAAAGGCGTGTGCCACCACCACCAGTCTGTGGGTTTCATTTGTATATATTGGTCTGTTTGTGGGGTTCCTAGCAGTGGAACCAGGATCTGTCCCTGGTACATCAGCTGACTTTTTAGAACCCATTCTCTATGGTAGGTGCCTTTCTCAGCCTTGAAGCAGTGGGGAAGAGCTTGTTCCTGCCTCAACCTGATAAGGCAGGCCTTGATGATTCCCTCACTGGAGGAATTATTCTTTCTGAGAAGTGGGTGGGCACAGGGAGGAGAGAAAAGAAGGGAAACTGGGTGGCATATAAAATAAGTAAAAAGTTTAAAATTATACAAATAAAATATGAATTTTATCAACTTGAAAAAAGTCTGTTTGTACTGCTATGTAATTAATCTGCTCACTTTAGTTTCACATGGATGTGGTTAGACATAGAAATCTGTCATTTGGGGGCTGAGAGATGGCTCAGAGGTTGAGAGCACTGACTATTCTTTCAGATGTCCTGAGTTCAATTCCCAGCAACCACATGGTGGCTCACAACCATTTGTAATAAGATCTGGTGTCCTCTTCTGGCCTGCAGGTAGATGCTGTACATATAATTAATAAATAAATCAAAGAAAAAGAAATCTGTCATTTGGGACTCAGTGAACCACATCTTTGGGTTACTTCCTGCTTCAAGTCTCAATATATGAAATATCTCACTGGGCTGGGGATGTATCTCAGGAATATGAATCTCGAGTCTCTATACAAAAGAGAAGAATAAAAATTGCTCTCTTAGGCCACTGGACCTCTCTCCAATCTCTGCAAGAGGAAAATGGTGTCCTGCTCCATGACGTGTTCCCCGGTGTCTCTGTTATATTTCCATAGCCTTGATTGTAACGTGTTTCTCTCTTACAGTTAGCTGATGCCTCATCCTTTTCAAAATTCTGCTTGTTTTTCTTAGAAGACAGTATTCCCTTGACTGGTGCCTTGTTCATTTCAGAACGTCTAACTAAATGTTCTTTAAACTCAACTTGCTCTGGGACTGGAGAGATGGGTTAGTGATTAAGAGCACTGGCTGCTCTTCCACAGGACCCAGGTCCAATTCATAGCACCCACATAACATCTCACTATCTCTAACTGCAATTCCAAGGGATCCAAAGCTTTCTTCTGGCCTCCTTGGGCACTAGGCATTCATGTGGTACAGAAAGACCAATACAGTTAAAGCAATGCCCATTATATGTACTTGTGTGTGTATGTATGTGTATTTATATATGTGTGTGTATATTACATAACTTTTTTCACAATTTTAGTCAACATTACCTAAATTTTCTGCCTCTTGGGCGTTATGTGTTTCTATAAAAAATTTTTAAGCATTGTTGTTTTGTATCTATTAGCTTAATGACTACATTTTCTCAGGCATAAATATCCCAAAATATTTGGTAGGATCAATACAGGTAGAAAGGGTAATTGAATCATATCTTTAATCCCAGCACTTGGGAAACAGAGGCAGGCAGATCTCTGAGTCCAATGCAAACCTACTCTACTTAGCAGGTTCCAGAATAATGAGAACTACACAGATGAGAACCTGTCTAAAATGATATGTGTGCTATTATTTCTACATTAAATATTGGTAGCTTTGTCCAGCACCTTTGCTATAGTAAAGGACTGCACGGATACACGATAGTTCAAATAATTCATGCATTTTCTAGTATCACAGTTTTTTTTTCTGTAAACCTTGGTCCCTTGACTGAAAATATTCTTCTAGCTCTGTGATACACTCACGAGATGTTAAAAGAGAAAATCCCACTTTGCATGTGGACTTGTACAACTAAGTGTATACCAGAATGGACATAGTAGCCGACACTTGTAATCCCAGCATTCAGGCAGCTGGGGGAGAGGGGAACAATTGTAAATCTCGGACAGCCTGAACCATAGAGGGAGACACTATCTCAAAAAATAATGTCTTCCTCAATAAATTTCAAAACCAGAATATTCAATGTCCTTTTCCTTTACTCAAGGAGGATGGTTATATCCCTAGAGTGTTAAATGGTATTCCATCAACTTTTCCCAGATCCTTGAACAAGGCATAAAAGATTCTAAGGTCCCCTTGTGATCAGGTCCTCATGAACTGTGTAAATGGTCTCTAACTGTGTTCAAACACTGAGATGTGGTAGACAGGTATTAAGAAGAGACACAAAACTTTCAAAAGATACTGCAATTCTGACAAATCACAATTGTATTGCTGATATTTTAATTGTATACAAAGTAGCAGGTTTCCTTGTGGTATTTTAGAGCATAGTTGGGGTTTACCTTCTCCCATTGCCTCCTCTCACTCATCTCTCTGTCCCGCCCCCATCTTGGTATAAATGCCCCCAAGTACTCTCAACTATCCCCTTCCATTTCCACATCCCATTTGTTCTGTGACCCTCCCACCTTTCTTATCAAGTCTTTTATTTCTCCTCCCGTGGGTCCTTTCTTGTTCGCTGACCTCTATACACCTTACTTCCATTTAAATAAACATATAAAATTCAAAGCTAAGATCGCCATATGATAAGAAACACTGGGCTCCTGCTTATAAGCCTAGGTTATCTTACTTAATATGTATATTTTGTCAGTTTTCTGAATTTTCTTCACATTTTGTAACTTCAGTTTTCTTTATGGCTGAATAAAATCCCACCTTATGCAGAAACCACATTTTCACCTCCATCCACCACTTAGTGGGCAGGGTCATGGTGTCTCCGCTGTCAAGTTGATGAGGCCTAGCGATCCCT